TGTATCGAATACTCTCGCTTAAGAATTAAGAGAGTAATTCCGGTACATTATTTGCCATTGTTCAGTCTCGTGTGAGCGATCGCAGCGATAAACGGCAAAGTTTGGAGGAAAGATCTGCGATGAATGCACCGTGTCATCAATCTTTGTCTCGCAAATCATGTAAATTTTTGCATTGCTTGTAATAACATCCGCATTAAATTCCGGCAATCTGGATTTCAGGCCGTTAACGTTTTGAGATATCGTTATGCAATGTGAAATACCTGTATTTGTTGATTTTTGTGACATATTGGGGATATTTAGAATGGCCGGAACATTTGCTGTGTTTGAAATGGTTGGAGCATTTGGTATGGTAACGGGTTTTGTGCATACATGTGAGGTGGTGCAATGTGATAAGGTGTTCCATTCCAAAAAGAATAATTCGTATTAGGCAAAAATTGTTGTTGAATTGGATGTTGCTGCATTGGTTGTTGTTGTTGCACCCGAGAAACATGATTTCTTTGGTGTTGATGATGTTCCAAATCATTGGGCAGTATCTGATTCTCTCGGTATTGTGGACGATAATTATTACGACGATGACCATTCCTACTGACAAATCTCCAACGATCGATTTGATTGTTTTGATGTGCCTCATTGATTTGTCTGTTGTTATAGTTGTTGTTGTTGCGATGATTCCGATTGAAATTGACTCGTTGCTGTACATTTTGTTGCAGTTTTGGACGAAGTCCCATCTTTTTCACGGCATCGGTTTCAACTGTGCTTGTCTTACTTTGCATTTTCGATGGATAATTGAATTGTTTCAAAATGCAATCAGAGCTCCATCCATCCATTGTAATGATCCCTTCACAAATCTTACGAAACAAGGTTGAAACTTTGAATGATGAAAAACACCTTGCCTTCCCTTTGTATCGTTTGTTTGGCAATTTTTCTACAATAAAAGAATCATTATTTGCATCCAAATTACCAATGATAAGAGCGGCAATATCTTCGGGAGTGGTTTCTATTGGCATTCGTGATATATGAATGGCGTATACTCCGTTGACAGGAGAAATTCTTGGTTTTCTGATGTTTTTTTGTTGGATTTTGCTCGTGTTTTGTGAGGCGCTCAAATGTGTAATGTTTGCATTCAGTTTTTCACTGATTTTTTTGTCAACTGATTCTGGAATCAACTCATCAATTTTTTGTATTTGTTGCCGTTCCTTTTGGTGCTGAATCGTACTTGTTGATGCAATGTTCAGTGAATTTTCAAATTTAATGACACACATTTCACATGTAATTCCGTACGGTGAGTCAACATTGAACATTTGAGAAAACGCTGCTGTTTTATTTGGATCATTTTGGAGCACTTCCCATCGGAAACCACCATTATCATCTGGTTTTTTGGACATCAAACCAAAAACACACAGTAGCTCCTTTGTTCTTAGCTCATCCCGCTGTCGTAAACATTCCACAAATATTTTCTTTTTGCAAAATCGGCAATTCATTGACCATCCGTTATATCTTATACCTTTGCAATCGTTGACTTCGCAGCAATGAGGTTGTGTTGTTGACATTTTGTGGTTATGCTTATTTGTTATTGGTATTTTTCACTTTTAAATCAATTGAAAACAGAGATTTACAGAGCAGAGAGAGCAAATGTACGTCTTTTGACACTCTCGAAAATCTCGATCACCTTCAAGGTGGAAAAGTTTTTTTTAAGTTCATTTTTCAGTTTATTTCACTTGAACATACGAATAAAGTTGCCAAGATTGTCCAATATATTGGACAATGCACCAAATCTGTTCTCATATCTATCATATATTTTCTACATCACCCTGTTTTTCATCATAAACTAATTAGAAAGTATGGAAATTTTGATTACTTTGCCTTTTTTTATGAGAATCTCGATTATCCGTCTTTTTCGATTATCCGTCAAGGCGCTGGTCCGGTGCCTGACGGATAATCGAGGTTCTACTGTATGTGAAGATTGGTTTAAGAGTCTCGTCTATGAGCCATTCGGTTTGAAGTCTGATTCACAAATTGGTTCGAAGAAACTGGTTGAAATATCTCACATCGTATCACCGACGGAAATCTACGTGAGAGATGAAAAAGGCGCAAAACGTATTACGGAAATTCGACAAGAAATAAATTCTTATGTACGTTCGGTTAGAGGCCGTGTCAATATAAATTGGTCGCTTGGAGATAATTGCTTGGTTATTCAGCAGAATCCATTGGTAACGAGCAAGATGATGCTATGGTATCGTGGACGGATACTAGCGCAAAGTGAATATTCATATGAAGTGTTTATTTGCGACTATGGGTACAAAGTCCAAGCAAGAGCATGTGATTTGATGCCGATTACAGATAACTTAGCAAATCACGAAGATTCAGTGACATTCTGCAGCGTGGATATTCCCAGCATTGCATCAATCGATCTAGAAGAAACTGTAACGTTACTGCGTGAATTGTTCAGAAGTTATACAAAATTAGCAGCTAGCTATAGCGAGCACATGGCTATTATAACACTGTGGGGAAGTAATGCACCCGGTGAAATTGGATGGGACCACGATTGGGACGATTTGAACTTGAAACTCATGAGTCGCTTAATGATGAAATCGATACAATACTACATTGACAGAACACAATACCAATACAGAACCAATAAATTTAGAAATGATGATGGTCGTGATGATAGTTTCGATGAACGTCAAATGTTGGAAAAATGTGCGCTCAGTGAAATTGGTGACGAAGCATCTGCGATTCCCCCGACAAACGAACCGTGCTCAACAAATATTGCTAAATGGGACCTCCCAAGTCGCATTGATCGAGCTACGATTTCTGGAATTGTAACACACATTCACGAAACTGGAACCATTTTCGTGCAAATTGAAAAGGACCATGAGATCGCAAATTCCTTGGAAATATCTATTACAAACTATCTTGCCGGAAAGCCACAATGCGAAATGGGTCACGTATGGCGAAAATCCAACACCTGCTTTGCGAAGCATGGCGAATACTTTCGTCGGGGTATTATCAAGTCAATTGATCGAGAAAACGGGACGTGCCAGGTGAGAAAATTTCTTTCCACAGCAAGCAACTTCATTGCTAATGACATCGCTAATGACATGACATTGACTTTTTTCAATTCTTTCTCTGCAGATAATGTTCGTCGACTATGGTGATAAAGTTGTGACACGATTGAATAATTTGTATGCGGCGGCCGATATTTTGGGATTTGCTCACCGCATGAAACATACTCTACTTTTAATACTTTTAATAAACAGTCTGCTACTTACTACTCAAAAAATCAACTTGCTACTTGCTCGAAGCAGAGTTTTTGCTTGCTTGCTTCCACCTCCGTATTGATTCATACAGTCTGCCATTTTCTACAAAAAGCTCGAATGCGTTGAATAAGTGGAAGAAGTGAGATAAAAGACTTTCGTAGATTTCGTCCAAACTGCAATGGATTGCATACAGTGTACTATTTTAAAGAAAATTTCGATGAACAATGTATAATTAAATATCAACAAAAACACACTGTTATCGATGTTTTTGTCTACCAATTCATTACCTTTTTATTCAATTGAAACTCCATCCATCCATCCATCCACCCATCCATCCACCCATCCATCCATCCATACAGACACACGCTTATTCGAATTCCATTATTTCATTCGACATCCATTCACATCCATCCATCCATCCGTCCATCCATCCAATCAATATCCATCCAATATCCATGTGAAGTCCATTCATTATCCATTCAATATCCACCCAACATCCATTGTCCATCCATCCATTCATCCAACCATCCATTCATTCATCCATGGATTTGATGGATGGACGAATGGATGAATGGATGGATGGATGGATGGATTTGGGGACTTATGACCGGTACCCCTTTTTTCGGGTACTTCCCATACAAAAGTGTCATTTTACAAGGTTTTTCAGGTCCTCAGTCGGAGGCTTATGGTACAAAATTGGTAAGTCAGAATGGGTTCAAAATCAATCCGAAGCTTTGTCTCGACATGCCAAAACTTTTGTCTTTAACAGATGTCAAATATCTTGTCAACTTTTTGAGATATCCGGCGAACAAATAGCTCGGACGCGAACGTGAACGACGCCATACGCACATCGCAATTTTACACATTTTTCATAGTAAACAAAGTATTTTTTGGGGCAGATGGGTCTTGATCGATGGGATTTGTTCCCATCTACATTGCCAAGTGTACAGATATGTGCTTTTTGAAGTTTGGCGTGACGTTATAGTGGTCCGAAAGAGGAGATGTCATGAAATTTTGGCTAGTAAAACCAATATTTTTCCTTAACAAACAAAGTTTGCGGAAAAATAAAATATTTAAAAATGAACAGCTGTATACAAATATGCTTAGGTAAGATGAAACCGCAACGGTTATAAAACATACAAAAGATGGTTTTGTTTATCATTAATAAATTTTTTTATTTGCGTGAATTATTTGTACATTGTGTCAAAATTAATTTAAAAATGAGTAGTACAATATCTCACGGCACTAAATTTATCTTTACAAAAGAAAAATAAGAAGAAAACATGAATTTGATACAGCAATAATTATCATTTGTCCATCTCATTGTTCAAAAACTTTAAATTTACTTTTCTTCTTAATTATTTAAACGTTGTATAATTACTTAAGTTTAGCAAATATCTCCATATGCTGCTGCTCACGAAAGAGAACATTTCTAATCTTGTTTACACGAATAAAAGGCATTTGAGATAGAAACTTTCAATTCATAATAATATAAACATTACTTTAATTTACCTTTTTGTGTCTGTATTCTTTGTGTTCGTTCTTTAGATTGTTGTTACATTTAGAAATTAAATAATTTTTTCAATTATTTTTATGCGCTAAATTATTGTTCATTTCGAGATGAAGCAATTTCGGAAGAGCTTTCTTACCTAATTGCTAGCATTTCGAAAAAGATTATAGTTGCTATTTTTTATTGCAATGTGGGTTCTCATTTATGACATAAACGCCATTTTATCACCACTTTTTCGTTGCATAACATAATATGATCTCAATACGATTTTAATTTTCGTTCAATTAAGTAGATTCATAGTAAAACTGAAATGGATAAGTTATAAAGAAAGATTAAATAATTATAAAAAAAATGTAATGTGCATAAAAAGACGGCAAAAGTTTTTTAAGTTTTAAGTCAAATGTAAAATTACGCGAAAATAAACATATACATATATAGTTTTGTAATGATAAAACTAATTGAAAAATAAAAACTTCACTAGTAAGAACGCGAAAGAGATGACAATTGGGGAGAGATGCCTGCTCAACGACCTTGTTCGATTTCAAGATTTTAATTTCATTGCTGGTGAAGATGTCGCTGAATCAAGACATTTCGGACACTTCCATTCCGTATTTACATCCTTAATGCAACGTTGAAATTCTGCTTCGCTCAAGTTAACGCAAATCCTATATAAAATACACAAAAAAATACTATACTGTTTTTTTTGCACTAGACAGTTTTTATCATTAGATACGAACCGATGATAGAAAAATTTACAGCTGCTTTCGCAAAACAGCGCTTCGTCATTGTCGTTGACTTCTTTGAGACACTTTCCGCATGTGTATGTTGGTGGTGCACTTGGATTTTGTGAGTTGGTTATGTACGGCTTATTGGTCATATTCGGACTGATATTGTAATTGCATGGTGGCATTGTTTGATGTTGCATGGAGAAGTTATGGCCCATATTATTGGGTGGCAAGCATTGTGACGGAGGCAATTGATTCTAAACACAATCAAAAGTACATGTTCTTTTTTTGGTTAAACAAAACAGGTTCCATGAGAAATGTTGAAATATATCAAAGAATATCATCATATCCACTTCCAACGGCGGAAAACAAACATTTCACAAAATAAGTATAATATTTCTCTTTTCCGCCGATAGATGAAGGAATGATATTATGGAAGAAAGATTGATTCGCTGCTAAAATACCTGTTTCATAACATTGTTCATCATCATATGGTTTGGGTTGTCGAAATTCACCATTGGGTCTCCTTTCATCATATTCATATTGCCACTGGTGTCGAAATTCGGATTGCTTGGTATTTGATCGCCTTTCATCATCATAGTGTTTTCAAAGTTGCCCGGTTGATCAAGTTTCATCATCATGTGATCGAGTTTCATACCAGCCGTATTACCCTGTTAACAAATAATTTTCTACTTGTGTAACGTGGAAGAATACAAAAATTGGAATTATGTTTTATACCTGCGGCGACATCCCAGGTGTTAGTTGATGGTGCGGTGATTGAAATGGCTGCATATTTGGATTGGTATTTGGACCATGCGGGTTCATCATCCCTTGCGGATTCATGTTTTTCGGTCCACCCGACATGGGCTGGTTAGGTTGGCCAACCATTGACGACAAAGATGAGAGTGATGAAAGCGGTGACATTGATGATAGAGACGACAATGGTGAATTTGTTGTCGGGGGCATAGGTGAAATAGGTGATATTGGCATATTGCTTCGATTTATATTTTGCGCGTGCATAGATTGCATTTGTTGCTGCGGTGACTGATTTGGTGGTACTATGAAATATTCATTATAACACATTGAATTTCTTCTCATAACGGCGAAAACAAACAATGAAACGTAAATACCTTGCATCATGTTTTGGTTGATTGGGTTCATTGGATTGCCATGGCTTCCATTAGCCATGTTCATACCACGTGGCGGTGGTAGTGGACCTTGTTGCGGCATCATTTGCTGTCCAGGGTGAACTGTTTAAAATCAGAAGAATAAGACATTAACACACATATATATATATGTATATGTGTCGTTGAGAATAAAAATGGGATTAACCGAAACCGCTCGTTTACATGTGAATCATTTTTGTGTTGTTGGTAAGAGATAGAATACCAATGTTTTCTGCAATGTTTTAAAACATTTCAAGATCTTCATTTTTGCTTGATACACTTGCCTCGTATCTCATACCAGAAACATAAAAATGATTCACCCAAAGAACGCGGTTTCGGCTTATCCCATTTTTATTCCCAACGACACATATATACTATATATAATTTCCAGATTCTCACCATTGCCGAGTGGACTATTTAGACTATTCAAGCTATTCAGGGGTGGACACATTTGGCCGTTGTTTTTCATTACATGTGGATTCTGATTGATGGGACTCCCCATTGACGGGGCATTCATGTTGTTCATCGCATTCAAATTGTTCAGTGGGCTATTTCCTAGGCGAGAACCTGGATTTGGTGAATTCATTCCAAGATGAGGACTTGAGCTACCTAAAAACCATAATATTTTATTCGAACTGTTCTGATTCTTTTCTTTTAATCAGAAAAAATCTCATGTACTTCATCCCATGTGGCTATTGAGATGGCGTTAACGCTCAACATCATTCGAAATAACCAAATCTAATATGGAAGTAGCCCCTCCAACAATCTACTCACCCGGTACACGATTTCCATTCAGTCCCATCGGGTTCGTTGAGTTAACCGCTAAGCTGGGGCTGGAACTACCCATGCGCGAACCGTTCGGCGAATTCATGCTGTTTAAATGCGAATTTGGTGTATTGTTCATTTGAGCCAACTGCCCCAAAGGATTCATGGAAGACATATTGGAATTTGTGTTTGCATTCATGGCATTCATTCCGCCTGCATTCATTCCATTTCCAGGCAACATCATTCCTCGATTATTATGCATAGGCCCGTCCATGTGATTACCTAAGCCAAATGTACTGTTCCTGTATGAGGAAAATGTCTTTTTTTAATACAAACACATCGAACAAGACGTTGAAAATATAATTTTACATTTGGTGTATGCTCCGTAATGCAGAAGATCCATTCATTTGCATGTTGCCATGTGGAGCCATTGGACCGCCATGCATATGCATTGGTGGATGTGAACCATTTCCTTGAAAATTTGAAATTATAAATAGTTATTTCAATTGTTTGCATCAAATAGCCCACTTATTTCACGTGGCTGAAAATAAAACCAAACTTACTTGGATGAGGAATCATTGGAACATGAGATGGTTGTTGATTGTTCATTTGATAGCCAGGTTCCATTGATGGATTTATCATGTTACGCTGTGGCGGTGTCGGCATTGGATGAGCATTTGGATAATGGGGAGGCTGCATATATTGACTGGGATCATTACGCATTGCATGGTGCGGATGTTGCGGTACGTGAGCCATCATTCCATTTTGATACACTAATCGAAAAATTGCATTAAATCTTGGACAAACGATACTATAGATCATTTAGAAAATGAATACAATGATTTACCACTTGGCGGTGTGTCATCAAATGGGTTTGACGCGACAATTGTATCCCCGAACGTGCTAATCGGTGGTGGAGGTGCAAGATCTTGTGGTGGCATTCCGATTGGCGGTGTATTGTTTTGATTTGTATTCGTCGTTGGAGGTGTATCTACAAACATTCAGGAAGAGTCATCACACATAAGCACTCTCGTAATATGTTACGAAAACATTATGTTTTTTTTATCTGACTGAACAAATTAACTTACTAGTTGTATTATTTCCAGCATTCGCATTTGCCGCGTTCGCGTTAGCTTTTCTTCGCTTTTTGGGCTGTGGTACATTGCCATCCATTTGTGGCTTAAATTCATTTGCCATTCGGCGAGACATTGTTATATTGGTTTGAATGTTGGGAATTGAAATGTTCCGATTTAGGTTTAGCTCATTCACAATAAATCAACGCAACCAAATTATGACATTTTTTCACATATATATTATTTTTAATTTAATCACAATATCGTTTTGATCATCATCCAAACTGTGCACTTCTGAAATAGGTAATTTTATGTTTACGAATCCAAAGAAAAATGCCAGTGTGCTGGCGAATGTTTACAAACAAATCGATACTAGAACGTAGCGGAAAAAGCAACAAATGGAGTTTTCCTCTTTGTCATAGTTTCAATTCGATTTTCCTATATTGTACTTGAAATACAGAACCAAAAACAACAACAACAACAACAACAATAGTAACAGCATTTGGATGACGATGAATTGGAAAACTATGTCAATTATGATATATATTTTGATAACTTTCCGCTCACAATTATTCTTCTGTGCGGTCTCGTAACATTCGTATTTATAATAAACACTTCATTACGCTTTGCCACACACTGAATAATTGTGAAATCATTTATTCTTTGTTGTATATTTATTTGACTGCCATTGTTGTCCTATACTCTCTCCATTTTTTCTTCCCTAAATTTGATCAATTTCAATTAGCAATCGGAAAGTGAAGAACTAATAATACACATTTGTGTCAGATTTTGTTTGCTTAGTTAAATATGTAGTTGAATAGTATATAAGGACAGATGCTTACCACGAATATTCAGCAAAAATCAAGTCAATATTGCTACCATTCACCGATGGTGGTATTACTCTGAATGAAGGAGTTCTATTTTGTTTGCATTTCCAGACCATGTAGTGTGCTATACACAAAGTGATAGTTGAAAACTATTCAATACATTGGTTTGCTATGGCAATGCATGAATAAGTAGATATGCGAAAAAAAATGTCTTTTGAAAAACTGCCCACAACAAAAACAACCAGGTTTCGTGTGATTTTTTTTTCTCTTTTCAATTCCAATATTGTTCTTCCTTCGAATGTGTTCAAAATGGTAAGGTTTTACGAATATATTCACGGATACTGAAATACACCAAAAATTGCTTATGAATTTGAATAACCAAATGTTGTTTTTAATATTTTGGTGAAATCTTTGTGTACACAATCGCGCACTTCAAACAATACAAATACATCAAACTCATTGAATCAGTTCGCTTCACTTTTTCGTCTTCGATTCTAGAATCCCCAAAAAGCGTGAAAATGTTTATAGTTGAAACAATTTTATTTATTTTTCAAACGAGTTCACTTTAAAATATGCAAACACTAACATTTTTTTCGTCATTTCAACTTGAAAATAACGAAATTGTCTTAATTTGGCTTTCCGTTTCGTGTTCGACTTTTTTCTTTTCTTACTTTTTGTATGTATACAATAGTGTATAGTTGGTGGCCATATTTTCTTGCACTGTCTTCAAAATCGCCTCGATAAAAGGAATACTTTATAATACTTTTGACTTACCCACACTCACGCACTCGGCTTACATTCTTTTCAACACACAGTCATGGTTCACATATGAAATTGAGTCAATAGGTTCGAATAGGCCTTTTCCATCTATCTTTTAGGAATTGATTTTGAAAAGTGGCAGAATGAAGGCAGGTAGGATGGAAATATATAGATTTATTTTCATAAATTCAATCAATATTTTCCTTTATATTTGCTAAATAATGAAATATTATTCGAATAAAATTGGATGCTTATTCTAATATACATTGATGTATAAGCAGCGCTTCAATGTGTTTCAAATAAACACCGCTAGTAGCGCAGTCAGTTCAATAAACTCCAGGTAGGTTTGCTGTGCGTTGTCAAAAACTGTAGTTCAGCTTTAGCGATAGAACGAAATTTGAAATAAAACCATTTGAATGATTGTAATAAAAATGTATAGGCTTTTTACAGAACTTTTACAGAAACTCTTCATAATATTATATGTGCCGAATTAAAAAAAATACTTTCGTTTTTAAATATATACTCACCTCGATGTTGATAAGAATAACAATAAAAATAAATGAAAAACCAATTTTTTTCCGCAATATCTTTCTTTATCTCGCTATGTGGGTTTTAAATGTTTATTTTTTAAACAAGGATATAATTTTGAAGATTGTGATACATTTTTTAAGGAAAAATAATGGGGAGCAAATTCTCATATTCCACCGCACCTTTGTATATAAATTAATAAATCTTTATTTATAATTAATTACTAAATCTATTTGAATTTCAATACTTTGATTTGCCAAAAATAAGAGTCAACACGTAAAAATTGCCAATTTGTTCCAGCAGTTTTATATTCTATATATACAAAAATTTCAAAGTAATAGTTGTTGTTTTATTGGCTGCATAATCTTGAATCGGTAGCCTACTCTTTATTACATTAGCTTCATATGATGACATAATTATAACCCAAGGATAATATTGAATATACTATTTTTAGTTTTTCATTGTTGCTGATATCCTCCACCTCCATATTGATTTGAGTTGTAAAAAAATTCATCCTGCTGAAAATTGAACAAAAAGGAGTGCGTGAGACTGGTTAACGAATGAAATTGTATACATACTTTATAATATATATGTATAAAAAGCCGTTGTGTTGCTTGGTAACGACAACGGACATCGTACAACGCAAACAATAATATATAAAAAAATGGTGTTTTTTGCTTCTAAATAGTTCGTCCTCGCCTGTATTTGGTACACAGTTAATATAAATTTTATTTATTTGAAAGTTTTCACAACCAATTAGTTTCTTCAACTTTGGTTTGATTATGGACGACGATTTATATAATGGGTTTCAGAGTAGTTTTATGCAAAACTATGAAAATAGCAGAACCGACATTGATTATGAAAATACGCAAAAGCTATCAAGCTATGGGAAAAAAAAGAATACGCCGAAATTATTAAGTCGTGAAGCTGCAGCAACAGCCCTATCATCCAGTACATTAGCAAGACCGATAACTGGAATGCGACCAGTTGGATATACATCAGAAGCTGGTCGTCAATATGACCCGTTTTTAAATCAACGTCAAGCTATAAAAAAAACCATTTCATTGGATGTAAGGAGGCCAGAAGAACAGCCTGAAGAAAAATATAAAGGTCTGGAGAAAAAAATTCTCTTCATTCTCGAGGAGTCAATTCTGGAAAGTACTTCAACAAAGGATCTCAATTTGTCATCGGCCTTAAATAAGGCGAAAGAAGCCTTTTCATACGACCGCACATTACTGAAATTACGTGATCAAAATGGCGACAGCTCTTATCATAATTCCGATATTACATTTGCTGTGCTTTTCAATTTGGCAAATATTTATGCCAAGAGTAAGATGTATGTTGAAGCATTGAATACATATGCCATGATGACGAAAAATAAGATGTTTCTCAATGTGAATCGTTTAAAATTGAACATGGGTATATATATATTCAACTACTTTATACTATCAATTACTATATTCATATTTAACTAAGCAAACAAATTTGATACAAATGTGTAATAATAGTTCTTCACTTTTCGTTTGCTAATTGAAATTTATTAAATTTAGGGAATATATACTTCCAATTGGGTCACTTCTCAAAGGCAATCAAAATGTATCGTATGGCCCTAGACCAGGTGCCAAGCAACCAGAAAGAACTACGGTTAAAGATAAGTCACAATATTGGTAATCAAAACAATATGGTTTTCTTTTCTGGTAATAAGATATAATTCCTACAACATATATTACTGTTTAATTTTTCCCTTAGGAATTTTGTTCATAAAAATGGGTCAGTATTCGGATGCAGCTACGAGTTTTGAGTTCATCATGTCCGAGCAGCGTGCGGATTTGAAAAGTGGATTGCATTTGATATTGTGTTACTATGTGTTGGGTGATATTGAGAAAATGAAAAGGGGATTTCAGCATTTACTTGATGTTCCGATCGAAATGAACGATGATCACAGAATTTCCAACTTGATGTCAAATCCGTCCCATCAGTATGTAATTGACTTCATAAAAAATGATAAACTTGCAATTCATGAGAATCGCCAGAAACATTTGGCAAAGAAGAATATCCTTATGTCTGCAAATTTAATCTCGAGCATCATAGAGGAGAACTTCAACGATGGATACACATGGTGTGTTGAAATGATTAAAAGTTCACATTTTGCCGTTCTTGCTAACGAATTGGAACTGAACAAAGCAATTATGTATTTGAAGCAGCACGACGTGCATCAAGCTATCGAAACTCTGAAATATTATGAGAAAAAAGAGCCTGCTATCGCAGCCAATGCCACCATAAGTTTAACATTCATTTATATTAAAATGAAAGATGTGGCTAATGCATTGAAATACGCCGAAATCTCTCGAGATATCGATTCATACAACCCAGCTGGATTTGTGAACAGCGGTACCTGTGAATTTATTCGTGTGAACTACAATGCTGCCCAGAGGTATTTTGAAATGGCATTGGAAATAGATCCGACTGCTTTTGAAGCGTTATACAATTTGGGCCTTGTTCATAAAAAAACCGGTGACTTTGAAAATGCTTTAAGCTGCTTTCACAAGATATCTGCCACCGTTTCGAATAATCATCATCCGCACGTGATATTTCAAATGGGTAACTTGTATGAGCTTTTGAATGATACAAGCGGTGCAATAGAATGTTATACGAAGCTGCTTGGTCTAGTTAATACGGATCCGAGCATTTTTCAGAAAATTTCGAACATGTACGAAATAGATGGTGATCGACAAACTTCTTTTCAATATCAAAATGAGGCGTATCAGACTTTTCCTTGCAATTTGCAAACGATATCCTGGATTGGTTCACATTTTATTGATCTCCAAGTGGCTGAAAATGCAATCACTTATTACGAGAAAGCCGTATTAGCTACTCCAAATAGTCCACACTTCTTGCTGCGTATCGCTGGGTGTTTACGACGTATTGGCAATTCACAAAAATCACTCAATTTGTTTCAAGATATTCTCAAACAATTTCCTGAAAATGCTGATTGCTATAAAGCTCTCTTACACTTGACGCAAACCCTCAATATGGACGATTTGTATCAGAAATACTACAATGAATATCAGCGCATCGAAAAATTACGTGAAACGCGGCAAAGAATTGGAAGCAGTCGTCCAACAACGAATAGCTCACAACGAAACCGACGTGGAAGCGACAAGTTAATGCATGCAATGCTCGGAAATAGTAGCGTGGAAAATGCTCATTCAAGTTCAACACCAAGCAGGAACTCCGATAAAAATGAAAACAATATGGCCAATGTGTGTGGTGATCCTTTGACCAGCTCCTATGCTGATCCCTTGGGACCAATGGCGGAAAGGCCACGCACTGGGAAGTTGAGAAATTCAGTTAAGGAAGAGTCAGATGAAGATTTTGATGCTGAAGAATTATTACCAATTTAATCGGAAATCTTAATTTTTAACTGATGAAATGATTTCATTTCTTCACCCTTTTTTGAATTCGTGTTATATGTAGCAATGCAATAAATAGAATGTCAAACTAAAATTAACAACTACTCACGTTTTGTTCTTTGGTGTTTGGAACAGTAGCCGCTGGAACGAAGAAGCTCGGTTGTGTTGGTAATGTTGGCATCATGGGCATCATTGGCGCCAGGATTGGAATATCATTTTTCGGTGCAGCACCAGATGGATTGAAAACATCCACATATGATTTTTTAAGTGCTAAACGAGATGAATGAAATCACGATTAATTCAATTTCACACCAACCGTTGACATTGCTTACTTTTGTTTCTTTGCATTTTGAACATATTCGATTGAAGACTAGGTGCGGCCAATATTGGGTCATTGCTACTATTCACATTACTGTCTTGCATATTGGACCCTGATAGCATTGGGCTGCCATATGTATGCATTATGTGCATCTGATCTGAGGTTGGAATGTTGGAAATTTTATTTGAAATATTTAAGGGCTGTGTCATTGCAGGTAATTCCGCCATTTTTGGTGGTGGTTTAAAGGATTCTTTCTCGTCTTCATCCTGATCTTTATTAATCCATCTCTTATTTTGTTCGTCCCAAATTATCTGGAATAGTTGAACTTTTTCTTAAAAGATCTGTTGTTTCTTCGTGTATTTGATAACTTACGCTTGGATTTTTATCATCGGGCAATATCATTTGATTTTTCGGTTTAAATGTCAGTTTATTGAAAATCCCACCAATCCAACCACTAGAGAAAATTAATGAAATTGTTTGAGAAGAAAATTTGATATATTTGCCAACAAGGCTTTTGTATATTTATACCTTCTTGAATTGTCATTTGTCCCACAGTTCGGGGCCTGTTTTTTCTGTGTTTGTTGTTGTGATTGTTTTTTGTCCATGTCGGCTCCCTTATTTGATTCACTTTCGGTGTTAGCCACAGAATCTGCGGCGCCCTCATAGAATCCAGGCTTATTCTGGAATGAGTTTGGCATTGAAATCGTTGGCTTGGGTACCTAGTAAGAGTGAGCAGAATTTTGCAAGGTGAATAAACTCATAATAGAAATTACTAAAAGTATTCAAATTTTTTCCATTATGATTGTTGTACATGTACATCCAATCTCATTTTTAAAAAAACAACAACAACAACAATTGAAGTAAAGAATTTTTCTTCAAAATTTTGAACAGAAAAAAAGTTAAAAACACAGAAAATTCAAAAAAATAACAACCAACAAAAGACAAATAAACAACATAAAGGAAACAAATCACGCGATAATGAGTATGAGTGATTCGGAAAGCAACTGATCCAGATTATATGCAAAAATGCCAATATTTTAATGATCCGAATTAATACAATATTTTCATTTATTGAACCCTTTGATTTATTCAAAGAAATTAAATTACAAAGAACAATTTACAGTTTTATAAATATTAAGTTTCAATGAAACTTTTTAGTTTTCCCAAAATTTTGATTCATATGATTTGGAATATAATCCAATATAATTTCCAAGATGACACGGAAATTGGAACCTTCTTCCATCACATTTGAATTAAACTTCAGCGAAACCCAAAAAAAGCGATCAACACCATACTTTGATTTGGTGAGATTCTATGATGATTAATTAGCTACAATTGATATTTGAATGTAATACTCTATTCAATGTTTGAAACAAGAACAAACAATTGTATATGCAAAACAACAACAAAAACTCTTTCCATGTAAAACACATAAAACAAATCAGATGACAGATCAGTTTTAAGTTAGCACATTAATGTTGGCAATTGTCATTTCTAGGATCTAAAATCGACTGGAGTATGGAACATCGATGGGAAAAGTTCCATTAAAAACGATTTTCTTCAGGGGCTTTGAATGTACGTCGTTCATTTCAGCACATAAATGATTGGTTGAATGTGGTGACGACGTCACAAATTGGACACACTTCGGTTTAGTAGTTTCAGTACTTTTCGCGGTATTTCGTTTTCGCAACGGATTACTATACGTGGCTAAATCATCAGTAACACACGAATGAGCTCTGAACTTAGAATCACCCAGACCTGTCGACGGGTTACACGCAAAGGTAGTCGACGTGGTAATTTTACTTACATTGTCCACATCATCCTCACAACCTTCTTCAATATCGTCATCATATTCACCATCATCATCATCATTATCATCCTCTTCCTGCTCTGACAATTGATTTAACGTTGGCATTTGTGATTGTAGTCCCGTCGTATTATCGTAGTCATGTCTTTTCATCTACGTCGATGTGGTATTCAATGATTCCGGTTTATGCACGAATGAATTGTCAGAAATGTTCATGGAGGATAGTTTGTGTTTTTGAAAGCGCATCGGGATTTTTGCGAAGATAATTTTTTTCGTGACGAAATTTTCGCGAGTGTGTTAAGTGGAACGGGATATGTACAAAATTAATGTATTTTTATTTTGAAAAATTCGTTAGGTGAAATATGACCACAAAAGTTGTTAATTTGTGGGATGATAAATCAATAAAACTCTAACCGGATCACCGGTGCATGTAACAATTCAAAGTCAGAAAAGTATTATAGAAGTTCCTGATTGAAACTAATATTGGTTCAGCAGTAAAATTAGTAAAGAGTAAATAAGAATTTTACCTCGTTAATTCCAAATTCGGATGATCCATAGGGAAGTTGTTCATTGTATAAAGGCAATTGATGCGTTTGTGACGGCTGTTGTTCTGACAGATATCCAGTGTTGGTTTTTCCAGAAAATTCAGGTTGCTGTTGTCCATATAAATCAGATGGTTGACGCGGTTCGTACGAAATTGGCGGTTGTTGTTTATATTGGTTTGGTGGTTGCTCCATAACGTAACTGTTGACGTCCACTGTTTGAGCTGAGGATGATTCTACTCCCAGACTTTCATACTCATATGTTGGATTTTGATACTGTAGACTCAAGCCTTGGAACTGTTTATTAATCTGTGAGAATTCTTGATCTATTTGGCTGGAAACATTTGTCGTCGGAGGTAGGCTCACATGCTGGTGCTGATACGGATCAACTGGAATCGTTGAACCTGTATTTTCAGCGTAAACAGTTTGAGTCTAATGTGAAAACAAATTCAAGATTACTATTTGAAATAAGAAAATTAGTTCGGTAAGAATAACTCACTTGTCCTAATAAATTAAATAAATCCTGTTGCCATTGCAATTGTCCACCGCTTTGCATAGTACCGTCTTCTTCATTCAAATTGTCAAGACTTTTTTCTAAAACCGGATCAAAATATTTCAATTTGTCAGCCACATTGTAGACTTTTTCGATGAACGAACGTTCGTATTGGCTTGGATTCTTCTGAATATGCAATGCCACTTGTTCCATGTATAAAAGTGATTTCAAATGAAATCCATAGTCAAGCATGCGGGTGCCAAGTAGATACTTATACGGTTGAAATTCAGCAATTGAAAATTGACTATTGGCCAGTGAACATGCATATTCATATATTTCTGTCATTATTATTGCTTCGTCGCTGGCGAATTCAGCAAACGATGATTTATAACACGAGGCCCCGAGAAGTATTAACCGAACTGCGTTTGAAGTATTGTTTAAAATCATTGAGGCGTCGTGTTTCACGTCCGAATACTTGGAGAATTCAACCTTTGCCATCAAATAGCAGAACTGTGCAGCAAAAAGATCTCCACGATTGTGAAGAGTGTCTCCCATTGTAATAATAGCTTTGCGATCAAGCTCTGTGTTTGATTGTGATGGATTTGAAATAATCATTGCAAGGTGTGGTCGCCAGTCTCCCCATTTTTCATCTTGAGTACTCTGTGTTCAACAATGGAAAGTTAATGAATTATGGATGTCAGAAAGGTTTTGTCGATGAAAATGTTACAGAAAGTCTTACTGTTACAGAAAGCGGAATTCTGCTACTTTTTAGTTGATACAGGGTTTGAAGTGGATCTGCTAACGGTAATTTATTTGCAAACTTTATCATAACATTCGCATGTGATCGACGGTCCATTTTTGAAGCTAAAAATAATGCATGACCCCAAAGATTGTTTTCTGTTGCCCATTCAAGAGCCTCATTTATGCTACCATATAATAAGAATTCACGGAATTTTTCGGTTACTTCCCATTCACTGAGACTGGTTTGTTGTTGTTCACTATCATTCGAGATTGCAACGTTGCTTTCATCTTTCGATTCAACGTCCGATAAAGTCTCACCATTATCCTTTTGCGCTGTTGATAGTTTTGTGCTATTCAATTGTGGTTGTTCATAAGGAAATTCGTCTTTATTTTTCAATAGCAATTCGGCTATGTCTGAACCAACGAAAACACCACGTTGCCGCAATAATAAAATGAGGAAATTCCACAATAGTGCAAATGAAGCTCGGCTCGATTGATCTACTGACTGTAAACTTGACATTGAATTGCTAGTCGATCGTGAATTCAAATTCGAAACATTTGGTCCATGGCGAATTTGTTCCAAACAATAGTCAATCACTTGCTTTGTGTGCGAAATAGGAGTTAATGGTCCAGGGAACATCTGATACAAACGTTTGGTTTGATTATTGAGTGCTATTCAAAAAAGTTAAAGGCAAATTAGCAAATAGCTTCGAAAATTTGAAATGATCAATTACTTCTCAGACATACCAAATTTTAGAAGATGAACATTATTTTGCATCTCATTCGATGGCAGATATTTTTGTTTGACGCAAACAAGTAAACCATTTTGGAAAGAAGCACAGCTATGTGTAGACGTGAACTTCAGTGGTGTCAATCTTTCTGGTTCCAAAGATGTCGCAGCACCATCCAAAGAATTCAGTTGTTGTTCTCTGAATAAATAGAATCGATATTACAAAAAAAGACATTAAAACTTAAGCCACAGCTTTTTGATAATCATGCCATTATTTTGGAATACTAATCTATAATAAGACAATAAAATTCAGTGCAATGGGAATTTAGCGAAAGTCATACAGCACGTGATGCAGTTCAACAAAAATGACGTCATATAGGCGGCATTTCCTTCAATTCCACCAATTCAGCTGATTTAAAACTAGTACTAATGTTTGCGTTTAGATTGTGAAGAAAATGTGTTATGGAAATTATTTTTATGTAACTTTGCAGAACGCATAAGTGTATGTGCGACTATTCAGAAGTATGTAAAAAAGCTCAAGCTAAAGCCTAAATCTAATGAAGCTAAGGATAAGTTACTAATTGTACATTTATATTATATACATATTACATGTTTGCTACATTTTGTAATTTTTCTAATTATTGCTTTTACGTATTGTACTCGTTACGTAGGAAAATTACAAATCTATGGAATATTATTGTTATGATTATCATTGTGGTGGTCATGGGAAATGCAATCGTCTCATGAAGATTCTGCGATGAATGTTACATGTGAGTGATTGTGTATTCCACCATTAATTTCAATGGCATGTATATGTATCAGGGAAAAATGAGCTTACAATTTGTGTGTAAAAGGCGAACGTGAACCAATATCACTAGATGCATAATATGGTTGTTCGTGGGTACGATGTAATATTGTTGATGCGTTGTCCAACAATGTTGAGTTGTGATGAGTACTAAATTCTTTATGTGACAACCGCTGAGCATGCGAATGCATTTTATTTGCACCGAATGATTGGTAGAAGGTGGGATTTGCCGACAACATATACCTAGTGTAATATGACATTCGATGGAATTTGATTTTATGCAATTAAATTCATTTCTTCAATCTTATCTAGAAGACTATACCAGTATGTATTTTTATATGTTATGTGTGTTATATATCGAAATTATTTCAACGAGTCATACGAGCCAAATTAAGAGGCATTGATGAAATGAATTAACACAAAATCAAGATATTGGTTTTCTCTATTAATATGTCTCAAATTGAATGATTAATATTATTTGATCATATGAATTCCTTATGGAAATAGAGGTGTCAACGGACAAAATTTTGGACGAATATTTTCCGGATGTCCGAATTTTTTTCGGACGTCCGAAAAAATTTGAAAATTTCGGACAAAACCCCTTGTCCGTCCGTCCGTCCGAAAAAAAATTCGGGCATTCGGACCGGACGTCCGAATTTTTTTTTCGGTTTTCGGACGGAGGGACACCAATGTCCGAATTTTTGTCCGTGTCCGTTGACACCTCTATATGGAAATAAACAAAAAAATGGGTGAAATGGTTTCAATATAGTAAAAACGTTTGCACACAAATGAACAAAATGCTTCGGCTCTAATTCGCACAAGGAGAAAAATCAAATTCACGCAAAAAAAAACAACTCGACCTTCAAGGGAAATCAAATCAAAATGCAATTGTTAGATATTTAAATCACTCTCAAATCGTCTTTTGATCCAATTTCATTCCTTTGAAAATTCGAATGAATTTAGTGTTTCGATGTAAAACTCAAAGCGTTATATTATTACCTGTCATTATTGTCTTTGGAAGAACTTCGACCAGAATGAACCGATTCCCGGCCAGATTCTCTACCCCCATCGCTAGCGACAACGACTGCCGAAGCGGCTGCTGTCAATTGGCTAGCAAAATAACGATTGTACCATTCAGCATATGCGATTGGATTAGTGCGCCGCAAATTTTCGTAGTATTGTTGGTGTTGGTAATACGATGAGTATGGATCATAACCATATATCTGTGCCACAGTCGGATGATAATAGCCAGATGAATAGTCGCCTCGTTCACTTCCATTACCAGACCGATCCTTTTTGCGACCACGTCGAGATTTATTCGTACTGTCGTAATCGGAATATCTATCATCACGTACTCGAAACCGGTCTGAAAATTGAAATTGTGACAGAATAAAATAATTTTACATATCGACCATTCCACACGAAATCGACCAAGAATTGGATTGACCATCTCAGAATTGGCTGAAAATTGGTTTGGAGTTTTGGTTTCGGTAGAAAATGAAAAAACCAAAACCTTTGGGTTGCAAGTGGCCTACATTTTGCGGCAACTCAATTCAATAACTCAACCAGCCGTGCAAACTTCATCTCGTCGGTACGCAGCGAACAAAACCAAAAATTTAATACAAAATATTGACAAGTTATTATCTTACATCCCTACAAAATGTATAGAAATAATGATATTCATCTGTGATTCTTACACAAGCACTATAGAAACAGAATATAATTAGCAAAATTGACTGTGATATAGCCATCCTTTGAGTTGTTGATTAATAATGTTTGACCGGTTATTACTTCATAATGGAAACTAGATTTTGTTACAGCTGTCAAAAATCGGTATTTTATTAATATGTTAATAAACAACATATTTTAATAATTAATAAAAAATTTGAAACACCATATTTATTAACGTTAATAAATATAGTGCATTTTATTAACATCACACGTGTGCAAGGGTTGGGGGGTATTCCGGTTTTACCCCCCTCTAGGATTCCAAAATGTGGACCCCCCAGCGATTTGGAAAATTTGACACTAGATATAATCGATTTTCAGAAGTGAGCACCTTTTTTTTTCTCACTTTTTTCTGGATACCGATTTTACACTAGATAGAATCGATTTCCAAAAGTGAGGACCTTTTTTTTAGGTCTTCATTTTTTTCACACCCATTTATAACTTTTGAATCGAAAAATTCCAAGTGTAACCTATGAAATCGTAACATCTATGGACCATAAACTTTTCGATTCAAACGTTAATTTTTCAACTAATTACCGATCACAAATGTTTACTGCGGTCCAAAACAGAATATTTAACACGAGTTAGTAGAGTTTTTCATCACCCAGAGTTGCCCGGAGCCATTTAAAGTGTTTAAAACAATTTATTACTTTTTAGTACATTTTAGTACACTTTTAGTACTTTTTAGTACTTGGCCTGCAAAGCTCTTGAGGAGTACTAAAAAGTTCTTTCAGACACTATTGCTCTATTTTAAGAAGTTGAGAAGTTGCAGGACTTCGAAAATGCACGAAAATACCGTTTAATAGCGAAAAGTGATTTTGAGCCCATAAAGTGGACTGGATGGAGTTTTTTTCGAGGTAATGTGTTCAAGAGTGTTGCTCAGCTATACTCTGGCTACAATTTTGCCGAATACAGTAAGTGAAAAAAATGTATACTGTTCGAGCTTTAGTCGAAAAACTGGAAAAATTGACTATTTTCTCGACATTTTGCCCCATAGCTCCCACCAGATGTAATTTTTGAGTATAGATTATAACTAGTTCCACCTAAAATCGAACGCCAAACATTTTCTTAGTACATACCAAGGCTATAAAACCATCACGAATGGGAGAAAAAAGGTATTTGTTCAATACCTTTTTGCATTTAATACTGGTGAAAAGGTAAAACGCCGAATTTGATATTTAAAAAAGTTGAGCCAATTTTAATATTCTGAGAACGCAGTTGTTCTTAGATTTTGGCCCTCTAAAACGCCTGATTTGTCCCTATCAATTGCCAGACAAAAAAAAACATCGGGATCACTGTGTAATTATTAGTATGGTGAATTTTCGGTTATTAATATGGTGTAGATTTTATTAAAATATTAGTAAAATGTGGTTATTAATACGTGGGGCACTCCATAAGTTTTTAGAATAGATTAGAAAAAACAAAGATTTATCTTCAAAAATTGTTTTTGCCAGTCCGTGTGAGATAGTTCCAAAACATGCTTTTTGAATGCATTAACTGCTTCTTCAGGTGTCGCAAATCGTTGACCACGCAGTTTATCTTTGATGAGAGGGAACAGAAAGAAATCGTTGGGAGCTAAATCAGGGCTGTAAGGCGGATGACCCATGATTTCTATGTTTTGAGCGGTCAAAAAGTCAGTTGTTTCATGAGATCTATGAGCGCTCGCATTGTCATTTTTTGGAAGACCCATACAGTCGACTGTTGTTTACTTTCTGGCTCATACTGATATATCCATGATTCATCACCTGTCACGATGTCGTAGACATGATTTGACGCTCCGCGCTGGTATTTATTCATCATTTCTTTGCACCATTTTACACGATTTTTTTTTTCTTTATCGGTCAATTTATGTGGGATGCAACGTGAACAAAGCTTCCGCACATGGTGCAGAATAATAATAATAATAATAATAGAATAATAACATGTAAGTGATCGTGCAATATTGATGTATGCTGTTCCCACCAATGTCTAAGGTTGCCGCGATTGCGGAGATTTCCCGGTATGTCACATGACGATCTTCCTCTATCATATTTTTCACAGCATCAATGTTTTCTGGCGTAACAGCTGTAATTGGACGACCTTCTCGCGGCTCGTCTTTCAGTGATTGCCTTCCACGTTTGAACTCGTTGCACCAATTATATACGCTGGCCATGGATGATGCTTCGTTACCAAAAGCGGAATGAAGTCGATTAAAACATTCCTGCTGAGATAGCCCCACTAGAAAATCGTAGAAAATCATTGCACGAAAATTTTCGCGAGATAATTCCATTTTTTCACCGAGTTGAAATGTTTAAGTGATCAAAACAAAACAAAGTAAAGTGATTTGACAGTTGACGTCTGAAGAAAGTTCTCGTAAAAAATGTCAAACTTTTCGATTGTCACAGCGATTTGCATCGGAAAACACTAGGAGTACCTCATTCTAAAAACTTATGGAGTGCCCTACGTATGGTGCCGATTTTATTAGAATTCTAATAAATTCGACAACATATTGGATTTTATCAACGGACGACATCATGTTCACATTAAAGTCTATTCAACACAGCGTTTAGATTAAGACAATCATTTATCACGACAAAATCTCAAAGAAAAACGAGTCTGGAAATATTCGACATGTTTTTTGTATGAAACTTTTCTTCGCAATTTTTTTGAAAAGTTTCATATAAAATTCATGTCAGTTTTTGCCAGACGACAAAATCTCGATGAAAAATGAGTCTGGAAATATTCGACATGTTTTTTGTATGAAACTTTTCTTCGCAATTTTTTTGGAAAGTTTCATACAGAATTCATGTCAGTTTTTGCCAGACGACAAAATCTCGATGAAAAATGAGTCTGGAAATATTTTACATGTTTTTTGTATGAAACTTTTCAAAAAAATTGCGAAGAAAAGTTTCATACAAAAAACAGGTCAAATATTTCCAGACTCGTTTTTCATCGAGATTTTGTCGTGATAAATGATTGTCTTAATCCAAACGCAATGTTGAATAGACTTCAATGTGAACATGATGTCGTCCGTTGATAAAATCGGATAAAATCAATATGTTGTCGAATTTCGGGCAGCTGCAACGTTGCGCTTCAAACACAAAAAGCGCCATCTGCACATATTTGACTATTCAATGTGAACTAGCTGTCATCAGTATCGTTGAGTCATCGATGCTCAATTCATTTTGGGTCGTAAACGGTACATTGAAAATTTCAAATGTGCCGTTTATGACCCAAAATTGAGCATCGATAACTCATCGATACTGATGACAGCTAGTTCACTTTGAATAGTCAAATATGTGCAGATGGCGCTGTAAAATCGTTCACCACTGACAAACGTCAAATTAGTATGGAAAGAAGTCAATGTTGCAGCCTCCCGTCGAATTTATTGGAATTCTAATAAAATCGGCACCATATTAATAACCACATTTTATTAAAATTCTAATAAAAAAAATTGCCGATTTTATTAAAATTCTAATAAAATATCGTTATTAATATGTTGTAGATTTTATTAGAATTCTAATAAAATCGACAACATATTAATAACCACATTTTATTAACATTTTAATAAAATCTACACCATATTAATAACCGAAAATTTACCATGCTAATAATTATTAATATGTTAATAAAATGCACTATATTTTATTAACGTTATTAAAAAATTCATTTTATTAAAAAATTAATAAATTATTAATATGTTAATAAAAAAAATATGTTAATAAATTATTAATATGTTAATAAAGTGACAGCTGTAGATTTTGTGTCAATTGATTTGCGAATGTTGCTAAAAAAAATTATGTCTCTGTCTCTTCTAAATTACAAATTCATAACTACCAACAGGGACTTGTTAGATTAGACTTAAAACTTTTCTTCAATGTATCACTTCTGGATGAATTGAATGATGACCTTTGCAGTCATTAGGGCCGTCAATACAGTGTTAACGCTTCAGTTAGTCTTTCAGTTTTACACCGGTCCGGTCCGTCGGTCTGTGGAAACTTAATGTCGGTCCGCGGACCGACGGACCACGGACCGCGGACCGGTCCATTTGGGAACTTATGTCCGCTACCCTTATCTTGTGTCAATGCTTTTATAGACCAAAGAACGACAAACTTGGTTGAATTCTTGACAACTTTGACATTTCGATGTACACACACATATAAATACGTATGGTGGATTGGAAAACGTCAGCAATGAATTATACTAACACTTGGTGTGGCAAGTTCATCGAATGTGTGAACGGGTGACAATATTCGATGACTTCAAAATCATATGAAAAACCACACAAGTGTTGACAGTGCAAACTCACGATTTTTTCAAAATATTTCTTTGGAAAACAAATCGTGGATGAAGCCTAGGCTTTGCAGAGCCCGAATATCAACAATAAAAGAAAATAAATGAATATAATTCCCAAACAAATAATGTATATAAAATGTATGGCGTTTCCAATCTCACCACTGTTCACCACAATCAGTAATGTGAATGACGCATGACAACGTGACTTTGACAGCACACGCATATGACTTGATGTCATGTTTACAGTCGGAAACGTCAATGCAAAATCTCCAGTATCCAGTTTCAGTCTCCTTTTATACCAATCGAGAAAGACTATTACAACTATTTATTGTATAAAATCACCAAACAGAGTTTGACTTAGGC